GCACTGATGGAGATGGTGGCACTGACGGGACAATGGCACTGCTGGGGACGATGGCACTGATGGAGACAATGACACTGATAGGGATAATAGCACTGATGGAGATGATGGCACTGATAGGGACAGTGGCACTGACAGGGACAGTGACACTAATGGAGATGATAGCACTGATGGAGACAGTGGCACTGATGGAGATGGTGGCATTGATGGGGACCATGGCACTGATGAGGAAGATGGCACTATGGGCACAGTGGCACTGATGGGAATGGTGGCACTGATGGAAACAATGGCACTGATGGGGACAATGGCACTGATAGGGACAATGGCACTGATGAGGATGATGGTGCCAATGGGGACAGTGGCACTGATGGGAACGGTGGCACTGATGGGGACGATGGCACTGCTGGGGACGATGGCACTGATGAGGATGATGACACTGCTGGGGACAATGGCACTGCCAGCTGCCACGTGGCCTCACCAGCAGCCCGGCTGTTGCACCTGCAGCCCTGGTCCTCTCCAGTCTCCCTCCAAGAAGAGGTCCCCGAGTGTGACACTGCCAGAGGCACAGGGACGTGGCTGGAGAGGATGGGGACATTGCCAGAGGCACAGGGACGTGGATGGAAAGGATGGGGACATTGTCAGAGGCACAGGGGGACATTGCTGGAGAGCTGGGGGACATTGCCAGAGGCACCAGGGGCATATCTGGAGAGGTTGGGGACATTGCCAGAGGCACAGGGACATAGCTAGAGAGGTTGGGGACATTGTCAGAGGCACAGGGACATGGATGGAAAGGATGGGGACACTGTCAGAGGCACAGGGACATAGCTAGAGAGGATGGGGGCATCACCAGAGGCACCAGGGGCATCGCTGGTGGCACAGGGGACATTGCTAGAGAGGATGGGGGCATCACCAGAGGCACCAGGGGCATCGCTGGTGGCACAGGGGATATTGCCAGAGAGGCCAGGGGACATTGCCAGTGTCCAGAGCAGCAGCCCCCAGGGCTCACAGCCCTTTGGAGAGGGTGGGTCTGGGGGCTCAGGGGGCCAGGTGGGGGTCTGGTTCATGTTGATCTATGCACTAACCGGTAGGCTTTGGACAGTTCTTTTCGTCAGAGCCATCCCCACAATCTTTTTCTGAAACACAGAACCACCAGACAGGAGCGTGGGCACGGTGACAAACACAACACGCCACAGTGACAAACACGGCACACGCACGGGGCACAGAGACACCGGGACGTGGACACGGACACGGACACGGACACGGACACGGACACGGACACGCAGAGGCACCGGGCAGCCCGGGAGGCGAGACCAGAAGGGATAGAGGGTGCTGGGGGAGTGGGGACAGCCAGAATTGGGGGATCCTCTGCTGCAGAACGAGGGGCTCCATGCCTGGGGGATCCCAGGAGAAGGAAGGGACCGTCCCTTGGCAGGGTCARCTCTGAGGGAGCTCAGGAAGGCTCCAGGGAGAGTCCTGTAGCCACAGCACCAGTGTCTCGCCTGCTCTGAAGCCACTAATTATTCCAAACGAGGCAGAGCGGGCTCAAAGACTGAAATAAACTTGTGGGGAAGGAAAAGCAACCTTGGGGCAAACTCTCTGTCCCAGGACTGGCCCTGGAAAGATCCCAGATGGGAGCTGGCTGGGAGAACTTTCCTGCCTTCCCTGCGGCTGCAGGACCTGGCTCAGCCCCACCAGCAGCTCTGGCCATGCCACACTTAATTCCAGCACTGGGGCAGAGTTTTAGAAACCTTGCAAAAGTCTGGAACAATCCCTGCCAGGTCATTCCTGCCCCAGCCCCAAGGGAAATACGGGTCTGGGGGCTGCAGGATGAGCTTGGCTGTGGCTCACACCCACTCCCCTTGGGATTTGGGCTCTGCCCTTCAGCACACACCAAGAACTGGCCCAAAAATGGGGTTCCCACCAGGCTGCACCCCCTCCTCGGGTCTCGCCGTCCCCTCGGGAGCGGCGCGGGGCYGGGTGCTCACCGTTGTCGCAGCGCCAGTTGATGTTGATGCAGCGCCCGTTGTTGCAGGTAAACTGAGTCAGGGGGAAGCAGGTCGGGTAGGCTGCAGAGGAGGTAGAGGAGCCGTCAGCATGGGGGACACTTCACGTGCACCCCAATCCTCACAGCCCTGGGTGCTCCCAGTGCTCCCAGTGCTCCCAGTGCTCCCAGTGCTCCCGGTCCCAGCTCACCGCACGAGGCAGACTCGTCAGAGCGGTCCCCGCAGTCATCATCCAGGTCACACGTCCAGGAGATGGGGATGCAGCGGCCGCTGGCGCAGGAGAATTGGTTGGGGGAGCAGGTCCGGGCTGACCAGAAGGGACAGATGGAGTGTTAATACCCTGCAGAACCTCGCTTTGCCAGGGGAAAGTGAGGAACAAACCCCCGGGCTCCTCCGAGGCTCAGGTGCAAAGCCAAAGTGGGTGCAGGCACAAGAAAGACCCCAAAATCTCAGGCTGTGGCTCTCCTGTGACTCGCTGAGAACAAGGCAGGTTCCTCACCTGAGCAGGTGGAGTTGGACTCGTCCTCGTTGTTCCCGCAGTCATTGTCCCCGTCGCAGAGCCAGCGGTTGGGGATGCAGCGGTTGTTCTTGCACTTGAAGCGGTCCGAAGGGCAGGTGTGCTGGTCTGTGGGGGGACACAGGCTCAGGACCTGCCCTTCATCCCACACCATCCCTCCTCTACATCCAAAAAAAAGAGAAAAACTGGGACAGAAAAGGGCTGGAGCCTAAAAGAATCAGGATCCCACTCAACGTTTTCCTCCTATACCCGCTTCTCAAGCTGGGGAGGGGACAGAGGGGTCCTGACTGCCCGACCCTGACCCAACATCAGCCCAAAATCCCCCAGAAGCACAGAGGAGGGGTCACTCACGGCAGAGCTCGGGGGCTTCGTCACTGTTGTCCAGGCAGTCGTTGTCACCGTCGCATTTCCAGCGCTCCTGGATGCAGCGGTTGTTCTTACAGGCGAACTCGCCGGGCTGGCACTGCGGCGGCGGGATGTAGGACGGGTTGGCTGCCCAGAGAAAAACCAAAAAAATGACAGATTTTAACCAGGAGGGCAGCTTTCCACGGGGAATGAGGATCCCCACGAGGGTCCCCAGAGCAGCCTACCCTGGCAGGTGACAGAGTCCGMCCCCAGGATCTGGTCCTCGGCGCAGGCGCACTGACGGCCCCGCGGGGTGGCCAGGCACAGGCTGCTGCAGCCGCCGTTGTTGACACGGCATTTGTTGGAGCCCACTGTGGAGGCAAAAAAAGGGTAAGGAGGTGGCATCTCGGTACCCAGGACTGCCCAGGAGTTTCCTGGACTCCCTCAAAAGGTGCTGGAAGCCAGCTGGAGATCCCAAAGTGGCCATGGGGACCCCTCAGGGGATGAAATTTGGGTGGGGAAAAAGAGGGAAGGCTGAAAGCTCAGCGCACGAGCGACACAAAAGAAAAGCAAAGTGCACAAGGATGGTGAAAATGAAGCAAAAAGAGATGGGGGGCTGCTTTGTCAGCTCAGACTCGCCCCCCAACCCCACCCCTGCGCCCCCAACCCCCTGTGCTGTCTCACCTTGCTGCTGCTGAGCGTCGTACATGCGGATTTCGAAGATGGGCGGGCGCTCGTTGCGGAGCAGACTGACGGCCTTGGTGGCCTGGTCCAGCCGGTAGATGCTGCCGCTGCGGTACTCGGTCCAGAAGAGGAAATTGCTGTAGTGGCACAGCCCAAAGGCGTGGTTCAGCTCGGGGCCCTCGTACACGATCTGTGGGTGTGGGAAGGAGGAGAGGCTCCGTTAGCCAGGACAGGGAAGAGGGACAGGGACAGGGACAGGGACAGGGACAGGGACAGGGACTGGGACAGGGATGGAAGGGGACAGGAGAGAGGCAATCACAGAATCACAAAATCACAAAATCACAAAATCACAAAATCACAAAATCACAAAATCACAGAATCACAAAACCACAAAATAACAGAATGAACTAGGCTCGAAAGGACCTTCAAGATCATCCAGTCCAACCTACGACCCAACACCTCCTGATCAGCTAAACCGTGGCACTGAGTGCCACGTCCAGTCTGTTTTTAAACATGTCCAGTCTGTTTTTAAACATGTCCAGTCTGTTTTTAAACACATCCAGAGACGGTGACTCCACCGTCTCCCCGGGCAGACAATTCCAGCGTGTGATCGCCCTTTCAGTGAAGAATTTTTTTCTAGTTTTTAAGTATAATAATAGCCATAATAATAATAATAATAATAATAATAATAACAATAATAATAATAATTTCTAATTTTTTAGTCTAACTTAAACTTCCCTTGCAACAGCTTGAGGCTGTGTTCTTTTGTTCTGTTGGTTGTTCCCTGGCAGACAGGACCGACCACAACCACCCTTCATGCCGTTGTAGAGTGTGATAAAGTCACCTCTCAGCCTCCTTTTCTCCAAGTTAAACAACCCCATCTCCCTCAGCTGTTCCTCACAGGGYTTGTGTTCCAAACCCTTCACCAGCCTGGGGGCAACCAGTGGCCACTGGACCCGCACTCGCCTTGCGCTCGGTGCCGTTGAGATAAACCATCTCGATGCGGTCATAGAAAGCGTCCACCCAGTACAGGATCTTGGCAGGGATGTCCAGGCTCAGCCCGTTGGGCCACAGGACGGTCTTGGAGGTGATGAAGATGTTACGGTTGGAGCCGTCCATCCAGGCCCTCTCGATTTTGCCCCTCTTGCTGTCCTTGGGATCCTCCTCCCAGTCCGTCCAGTACATCCACCTGCCACAGACACCAAGGTGAGCCCTGGCCTTGCCACCACAGCTGGTGACAACACCCAGCCACGTCCCCATGGCCCTGCCAGCCAGCCCTGCCCACCCAGAACCCCTCACCCGTTCAGAGGGTCCACCACGATGGCACGGGGGTGCGTCATCTTCCCCTCGATCAGAGTTTTCCGCGTCTGGGCAGCTTTCTCCAGCCGTGCCACGCTGATTGTCTTTTTGGGTCCATCATCCGTCCAGTACAGGTTGTTCCCCATCCAGTCCACGGCGATCCCTTCCACGTTGTGGATGCCTTTGGGGAAAAACCAAAGAGTGGGTTCATCACCATCCAAGAGGCGAGAAGCAGAAACAACAGCCCCACGTGATTGATGGTGCCCGATCCCGACCCAAAACGATGGGGATGAAGGAACCCAAGCCCAGAGGGCACATTACCATCCTTCAGGACGGTCTCACGCTCCGTGCCATCGATTTTCTGGCGCCCGATGAGGTAGCTGGTAGTGTCGGCGAAGTAGATGAAGCCGGTCTCGGCGTGGAAGTCCAGGGCTCGGGGGTTCATGAGGTTCTCGATGGGGATCATGTGCTCGTCCGGCACTTTGGCACCCATGTCCATCCCGCGGATGATGCCAGGACGCCCCTTCCCATACACCAGGAACAGCTCGTGCTCGGGCTCTGTGGACAGACAGGGGACAGCCGTGGTCACCAGCCAAGCCTGGATGGAGCTGTTGTGGGGTCACAGAAATGGGTGAGCACAGAGCTTTTGCTCCCCATATTCCCCCAAGGAAGGCCAGCACTCACTTTTGCAGGATTTCCCGTCACTGCCCAGGCTGAACCCGGAGCGGCAGCGGCACGTCCGGCTCTTGTGGCTGTTCCCCAGCAGGCAGATGTCCGAGCAGCCTCCTGGCTTCCCAAACTGATCCTGCTCGCAGGCGTGGCTCCGCACTGCAACACAAAAAAAAYGGGGCTGCAGCGGCCGGGGACAACRAGGGGACAGGGGGACAYRGGGCTRCACCGTGGGGACACTTTCATGGSTTCTSCCTGGRTTTTTRGGGGGCTYCTGGCTGGTCAGGGAAAGGCTGAGCCCTGCACAGGACAGCACAGGGATGGGAAAAGGATATTCCCATGGGAAGATAAGCCATAATGTCCCAGGACACCACAGGGCCACGCTGTCCCATCCTGCTGCAGCAATGGGACAAGGCCCGAAGCGGGGACAAGCCAGCACCAACCGAAAAGCCCCTTAATCACGCTCCTTCCCCACGCTCGGAAATCTCCTGATTAATTTTATATTCTGGAAAATGCCGAGCAAGGCTGCAGACACTAAGAGGATTTTGAAGGAGTAAATTGATTAACTGCAGGAAGGTGCTGGAGGGGGAGAGAAGGCAGGGATGGATGCGGGGAGGGGTCGGCGTGGCACCGGCGCCTTTCAGATCCCTGGAAATCCCTCGGTGCTTGGGAGCAGCGGGGTGAACGTGCTGGCAGTGGGGACAGAGAGAGAGCGGGACCATTAATATTTTAAGATGTCATATCTGCTTCCACATCTCTGTACTCTCTGTGATCCACCAACCACGTGGCGCAGCTCTCACAGGAGGAGACACAGAGAGAGCAGCAAAGGGGAGAACCCCAGCGTGTTCAGAAGCCCCCAGGGAGCTGGAGCAGGAATCTCAGAATCCTCAAGGTTGGAAAAAACCTCCAAAATCATTGAGACAAAGCCCCACTTCATCAACCCGACCAGAGTGCCATGTCCAGTCATTCCCTGGACACCTCCACGGGCTGGGGACACCACCACCTYCCCTTCCAATGCCTGATCACCCACCCCACAAAGAAATTCTTCCTGAAATTCCCCCTCTGAGCCCCTGGCTGAGGACCCAGAGAGCTGTGACTCCAAAATCAGGGTCCCACCTGTTGGCTGGCGCCGCTGGTGGTAGATGTGCAGCGCTCCTCCCTTGTCCACGCGTGTCACCACCTGGTACTCGGTGCTGTTGAAGCGGTTGACGCGGATGACGCTGGTTTTCTGCTGGGCGTTGGCGTTGTCCGAGTTGGTGGCGTACAGGTAATTCTCAAAGACGGTCAGCCCGTACAGGTGCTCGATCTGGAAGGCATGGAGTGGGTTCAGAAGCATGGAGTGGGTGTCCACAAGAATTTAGGGGCTGGGAGAATTTTTTTAGGGCGCAAAACCCCGATGGCTCGTGTCCATTGCTGGCCATTGGTGTGGCCTCGTCCATCAACAACATAAAATCATTCTCAGAAAGACCACGCTCAGTGCTCAGCACATTCTCTGCTGGCCCAGCAAAGCCAAAACCACAGACCAGCAGCACCCAGGACACCGAATTCTGCGACCAACCCTCACCCCAACACCAACCTCCCCCAAACCCACTCACCAGGATGCCCTGGATGATGGTGTGCCTGTTTTTCCCCTCGTAATCCACCACCTCGATGTAGTCCAGGTAGGCATCAGCCCAGTACACCAGGCGGTTCACCAGGTCCAAGGTGATGCCGTGAGGGAAGACGATTTTGCTGTCCACCAGTTTGGTGCGGTTCTGCCCGTCCATGTCGCAGCGTTCCACCTTGGGGATCTGCCCGTAGTCAGTGAAGAACACTTTGCTGTGGGAGGAGAGCAGAGGAGRAAGCTCAGAGCCAGGATGGCAGAGGGAGGAGATGGATGTGAGGATCCAACCGCAAGGATGGCCGGGATCTGGCATGGAGCTCCCACAGGAGCATCACAGAATCACAAAATCAC